TATTGTGTATTATTTATATATACTATATAGGTGCCTACATAATATAATACATTATGTGACTTTTGACTGTACTGCACGCAGCTTACTTGTGCATTGCCTCCCAATTATTCTATGCATTATTACAACAATAATTATAGMTTGTCGACAACAATTGGGTCCATCCTGTTAAAATTGACGAATGAACTTATTCAATAAAATTGACCATAATCCGTATTAATACCATAATTTCTATGCAAAAAACTTAAGGGTTATGTTTCTCCTTCGTTTAATATATCCAAAACACAAACATTTTATAGCAATAATGTTGTATAATAAGTTAGTTCAAAACTTGTATTATATCAAAATTAGGTGTTGAAAAATCTTTAAAAATATACTCTAACTTTTTATTTCATATTTTAGTACTGGCGAACATACATAATGCATTTTACTTTACATTAAACCTACTTTTGTGCATACTACKTGTATATTTACTTATTTAACAATTTTGAAATTTAAAAACTCTGATATAGTCTAGACTACATATTATATAACAAATATAATATATTCCATAATACTTGCTTCGGAGTATGATGACTATATGATATTGCATAACCTAGTTTAATTTTTATAAATATTTATATTATATATAATATTCATTTGTATGGAGACTGGTTCGGGTGTCATTTCTCTGCTGTGCTGACCTTAATCAATTCTACGGACAGTCCAAAACGTGAACTGACGAGGTGAAGACCTTCGTGTTCRTAATATTAAAACACATTTATACCTATATGATCACATGTTATACTCATCCCACATAGACCTTGGGCTTGTTGTTTTCTAGACCATCGTTGTTTTGCGTGTAATGCATAATATTATATAGTTAATGTTATGTATAGAATCCGATGATGAAGACGAACAATGTTTAGCAAATTGTACACAATTGCTTCTTCGTATTTTACCAGAATTCAAAAAAATAAAATACAAGTGCCTGTAGAATTACTTAAAAATKTATTGAAATATACATAATATGATTACATATTACATACATATTAGTCCATATAAGACAATTTTATAAAAATGAGTATATGGCCTTTACCTATCCACTCACGACGACCTAAGTTTTGAACTTAGTTGACAATATGTCGAAATTGAATAATRATTTAATATTATTATTTCTTGATACCACTGTCTATTCTTATTCAATTAGCATCTACTACATGACGTTATATCTATGTTGATATTTAGTACCTTTAATATATATAGTATGTTTTAGAATATGAACCAAGCTATGTATTAGCTTATATTTTTTTGTCTGATATCACGTTTTSTASCAAAATATTTTAAAACCAGTTTTTGGTAGAAAATTGGTTCAAGGGATTCATTTTGGAAACTTTAAAATGTCAAAAGTAGTAAATTATCWACATTTTTCTTAATATTGGAGAAAAACAAAAACAAAAAAGGAAAACAGGAATATTTTAAACAGCTGACTGGTAAATTAGGTCTTTGGTATAATCGTGTGATTATTATTTTTTTTGTTCTTTTGCTCTCGCAAGTAAACTCTTAAAAATTGTATCCCTTCAGTAGTAGTTCAGTCGTATCGTGTCGTTTTCCCTCGTTGACGTCTCGACCTATAATCTTCAACTTCAAAAATCATCGATTAAAATGACCGTGAAATCGTTTACGTGTAATAAAATAATATTATATATATTAAACACTACAGTATGTTGTTTTCATATATATAATTGTCATGGCTCTATCGCTTTATGAATATATTATATATTGGTATATACTTCACCTTMTATAAAACGATTAAAACGTCAATCGGCACTATGCAAAATTAATATATTATTGTGTGCTATTATTATAATTTATAATAATATCATTATCACAATTCGCAACTATCCCAAATAAACTTTATTCTATCTATTTAGTACTTACCATTACATTATGAATCTGTTTTTAAAAGGCCTGCAATTCGCACTAATAGCCCTTATCTAATCACATTAACTATAAACATTAACCTACATTATAATAATATGTAAATAATAATAAAGTTTCACTTGAATAATATAATCACAACTTATATTATACATAGAATTTAAGTATACAGAAGGATTATTTTCTTTTGTTAAATAAATCCGTCTTAATTTTTTGGACCAAAATTTTAACTGTTTTCAGGCAAAATAGACGCCTATGAAATACTCGTTCTAATAAAATAAATATCTGCTCTTACATTAGTCATTAATCATTGTAGTACAAGTACGGTCAAAYACAACGCTGCACGACAATGTTATATATAGGTTGGCTACGAAACCACGATAATTGTTTTCAACTTTGGGACTACAAGTTATTAATCATTTTTTATACATAATAATTAGCCCAGGGTTGTGAATTTTATGCACATAAAATTTATCGAAAAGATAAAACTGATAATAATTTACTCGCGAATAACCAAAACGACAARAATCGAATTTAATKCAATGTAAAAATCAGCAAGAATAGAAAAAAATGCTGCAAATGCATCAAATTTGAAGTTCTGAATTTATAAACTTGCACGAGCGAAATTCGTCGAGTCGTTAGAAAACTATTGTATAATACAATCACAATATGCTCTCGACGTTCAATTTTATAGAAAGAATACACATACGTTATATACAGAGCGATTGTAATGTAAACAAATACAAAAGTACATATTATTACAAGTATAGTGTACAGTGTACAGGATTTAAGGCAATATGTACAGTTTGATAATAAAACGACGTTTGGTTGGGATGTATATTAGGTGGTTGTGTGTTGTACGCCGAATTTCAGAATGAATGGTGTTTGTTTTGATTGTTCATAAATAATATTTTTCCGAACGAAAGTCGAAGTTATATGTCGCTTGTCGCGTTTTCATATATTATCGTATTTCAAGTACCTATTTACACGGATTGCGTTTAACTAGTAATTTTAAATTTTTTATGCGCTCACAGCACATTTCGGTGTATAACACGCAACG